AAACAAATTAGCCCACTATTAACGGAATATGCAAACAAAATACGGAGTACTTGGTGAAACCATCATCTTCTTAGCACCTCTGCCCCTTGCTACTTCTCAGCACAAATCAATCTATTTAAAAAATACCAGCCCATCTTCTTCAATCCCCCTCCCTCTCTTTTGTTTGATCCTACTATAGAAAAAGTATAAGCAATGACCTCTAATTTTTTTTGCAGCTTCATTTAATTTCACTCACCAACTAAAAATTCATGGTAGTACAAAGCTAGGCAAGGATGATACAGCTATCTAGCTACGGTATATATAATTCGCTGATGAAAGGATCAAGATCTATCGTAAATATTATTTGTCTTTTCATTTCCCCATGTGTTCATTTAATGGATTTACAATTTCAATGTGCCGTTTTCCCTTCTCAAGTGTTCTGGAGTTTTCTCTTACACCGATATTTTTTAAAACCAGCCTCAATTAGTGCCCTAGATAAGACCAAGTATTCAACATTAAATGCATGTCAAAATATTACACCGAGAACTCAAGCCAAAATACTATACCTTGAAACTCAAGTCATGTGTTTGGCGGGAACTTGTTCCCCAAGAATCCTTTTGTTATTATATTAAGATAGATATGATAAAAAGCAATGTAATGGTCAATCAACTCAATCAATATCTATAATAATATAAAGTAACAAGGTGTGACACCTGCTTTTCCATCCAATTAGACATTTAATGCTTCATACATATTAAACATCAAGAGTTACATTAATAATTAGCAATTTGTAATAATAATAGTAGTAGTAAATAGTAATATATTATGGAGTAATTGGAATATTTTCTATTCAAAATAATCTATCTATCTATCTATAATAATATAAAGTAACAAGGTGTGACACCTTGCTTTTCCCTCCAATTAGACATTTAATGCTTCATACATATTAAACATTAAGAGTTACATTAATAATTAGCAATTTGTAATAATAATAATAATAGTAGTAGTAAATAGTAATATATTATGGAGTAATTGGAATATTTTATATTCAAAATAATCTATAATAATATAAAGTAACAATGTGTGACACCTTACTTTTCCCTCCAATTAAGCATTTAATGCTTCATACCTATTAAACATTAAGAGTTACATTAATAATTAGCAATTCGTAATCTATAATAATATAAAGTAACAATGTGTGGCACCTTACTTTTCCCTCCAATTAAGCATTTAATGCTTCATACCTATTAAACATTAAGAGTTACATTAATAATTAGCAATTCGTAATAATAATAGTAGTAGTAAATAGTAATATATTATGGAGTAATTGGAATATTTTCTATTCAAAATAATAATAATAGTAATGATAATAATATTGTAATAGCGATACATAATTGCCAGGACAAAATTTACGATATTTTGATTGGAATGTTTTCAATTATAAGCTAGATGAGACCAAATTTATAATAAAAATTAGACCTGATTAAATTTAAATAGAATAAGCTTGATCAAATTAGACCGTCAGACCAATCCTAAACAACCTTGACCATAAAACTCTAATCTCATAAAAAAATCATTATTATTGTCTTGATTTTTAAAGACAATTGAGGAACACTAAAAATGTTACTGCTCAAACTTTTGTAAACATCCAATAAGCAAAAACATTAATTGTTGGTATAGCTTTAAAAATTGTTAAACTAGACTAACTAAATAAGATGCTAAAAAAAAATTCATCAAAAAATTCAACCGGGAACCACCCCAAATGGCGACGGCCGGACATAGCCTCTTAAATATGGCCTTATTTGACCTTTTTTGGTTAGTACGTGGCCTTATTTTGCCTCTTTTCTCATTACTTTTCTGGATGTATTAGCTGAAGTTACTGTAGATGATCATTTTGACTATTTTTACATATATTTTTTTCTTTATTTTATTAATAAAACATATTTTTAAAATAATTTTTTCTTAAATGAGCAGAATCAGTCAATGCAACAACTTCAACCAGAATTTCATAAATTTCAACCAAATCAGCCAAATAAGTCAATTTTTCATGTCACCAAACGGACTCTTAATTCCATATTTCCATATATTGTGCGCAGAAATTGGATCTATATTGTACATGTATAATTGTATATCACTAATATTAGTGGTTGTAAACAACTAATTTTCGTAAAGACTCCTACAAATCACTAATACTATCCGTTAGCTAAGGATGTTTTTACTTGGACTGTAATTTGCTGGTCTGGTCTGGTCTGAACTGGTCTGGTCTGGTAAGGTCTGGTTTCTTTGTATTTTTATAACTATCCAAGTCTGGTCTGGTCTGGTCTAGTCTGAACTGGTCTGGACTGGTCTGGTCTGGTCTGGGACAGATTACAGTCCAAGTAAAAACACCCTAAATTGTGTTCACCAAATTTGCTAATGCCGATAGTTTACTGCTCCTAAGAATAAAGCATAACCAAGACATACGAGCATCATGTGTTTATGAAAAGAAAAAAATCACACATTCACACTTAAGAAAACTACTAACTACAACTATTCTTTTTTAAAGGACAAACTAATCATATAAAAAATAATCTTATTTGCGCAGATGATCAACATTTTATTATTTATACTACGGAGTATTATCTTATTTTAACATGTCACTCATACACAAAAGGTCGGATAGGCCATCGAACTTAATAAAAAGGTCAAATAAGCTCTTATATAGCAGGTTCTGTCCGGCCGTCGCCATTTGAGGGCGGTTCCTGATGGAATTTTTTGAGCATCTAATTCATTAAGTCTATTTTACTCATACCAAATTTCAGCTAAAACTTCAATCGGGAAGACATTCAAATGAATTTTTGAAGATAACTGCGCAATTAAAAAGCATAGTTATCTTCAAGAATTCATTTGAAAGTCTTCCCGATTGAATTGTTAGTTGAAATTTGGTATGAGTAAACTAGACTTAATGAATAAGATGCTCAAAACTTATGATATACGGAGTATGTATTTCAAAACTTATGATACTTTTGAAATTTGGTATATTTCAAAAGTATCATATTAGATTCGCATAAGATTTAGATTATATACATGAAATCATGATACCCAATTGCACGCTTCGAATACTCAATAGAGGAGGTTGGATGTTCAATGAAAACGTCTCGATGTTCAACTAACAAAGCTTATGATTTTCATATCATTACGCATTTGGTAAGTTTTGTATGCTCATTTATTACTGATGTTATGCTCATTTTAAAATGTTATATCAATGCATATTATAAAAACACCATATTACATTATATTCACGTAGAAGTTAATTACAAATATAGGAGCACAAACCACAATACTCAATAACATGTTTCTAATAGTCAATAGAGGAGGTTTGATTCGATACTCAATGAAAATGTCTTAAAACTTATGATTTTCATACTAATGCTCATTTCATAATTTACGTATGTTCAATTGGTACTCATGTTATACTCATTTTTAAAATGTCATACCAATGCATATTTCAAAAGTATCATATCCCATTGGATTAGCATATTAAAGTTCATAGAAGTTGATTATATATAATTTAAAAGTTTTTATAAAAGAAGAAATAAGAAAATGAATTAGAAGATGTGAAACAGAGATCACAATGCTCATTGCTAGGCTCATAACACTCAACAAAATAGGTCTAATAAAGTGCATTAATGCTCATTTAGCGGAAGTTACGAATTTCACTTAAATTACCAAAATGCTACCAGCTAGTACGATTCTCACAGAGTCACAGTACAACCGGTTGTACGGTGCATGGAATCGCAGGGCGGGTAGGGAGTCGGGAGATTAATTAGGCTATAATAATAATAACTTTCATTTATTTTTAATATTCTAAAATAGGAAAAAGATCATATCCAACTTCCATTCAGCCGCTCTCATTTGGGACGGTTCGCAATAATGTTTTAATGAAATTTTATAAGCATGTTGTGTACAATATATATATATATATATATATATATATATATATATATATATATATATATATATATATATATAGTCCCGTTCCTATCAGGAGCTCCTGAAGAGAAGCCCCGTGCGGACAAGCCCATCAGAGGGTCTTCCCGGTGGAATTTTTTGATGAAATTTTTTGAGCATGTTCCTCATCAAGTCTAGTTTGTCCATACCAAATTTCAGCTCAAAATTCGATCGGGAAGGCAGTCAAATAAATCCTGGAAACATACTGCACTTTATATGTGCGCAGAATGAGCCATAGTTTTCCAGGATTTATTTGACTGCCTTCCCGATTGAATTTTGAGCTGAAATTTGGTATGGACAAACTAGACTTGATTAAGAACATGTTCAAAAAATTTCATCAAAAAATTCCACCGGGAAGACCCTCCGATGGGCTTGTCCGCACAGGGCTTCGCTTCAGGAGCTCCAGATGTGAACTGCCCTCTATATATAATATATATATGTGTGTGTATATATATATATATATATGAATGGCCAAGATTAATTTGCACTTTGTAAATTAGGATTAGTTTGTATGTGATCCTATATATATATATATATATATATATATATGTATGTATGTATATATATATATATAGCCCGTTTGGTGACTCTGTTTTTCAGCTTATTAGGCTTATCAGCTAACTTTTTAACGAAACATGCAATTTTTGATTTCGTTCGATGAATTGTGTAATAATAAGAAAAAGTAAGGTTGAAGTTACTTTTCTGGCTGTATTGGCTGAAGTTACTACAGATGACCATTTTAGCTATCTTGTCATATAATTGTTTTTTATTTTATTAATAAAATATATTTTAAATATAATTTTTTTCATAAATCAACAGAATCAGACAATACTGCAACTTCTGTCAGAATAGCATAAATTTCAGCAGAATTAAATGATTCTGCCAATTTCAATTTTACCAAACGGGCTCTATATTTACAAATTTTCATCTCAAAATTCAATAGAAAAATGAGAAATTATTTAAATAAATTAACCAACAACATATTTTTTAGATGTTCTTCCTCAAGGAGTCAAGGGTCCTTTTTAGTTGTAAAAATAGGCGTTCAACAAACTGTCAAAGTGTCAAGTCTACTTCCTATGATTCAAATCCAAGCCTGCTATGGAAATCGATTGAAATGCCACTAATTTACACTCCAGGAGATTTAATAATGGCTTTGTACGTTTCTTCCAATGACTTTAAATACCTTACAGAATTTGCATTTCGTCTTTAATCACTACAGATTGCTCAATCGGCAGCTGCGATCAAGAAAGCCTCGGCCGGTAGTTAGGGCATCTCTGAATTCCGCGCCATATCTATGAGTCAGTTGCTGAATGACATTGGAAGATGATGAAGGCCGACGAAAACCCGACGAGTCCATTGGCGTTAACCTCGAAGCTCGACCCGAAACCGGATCCTCCTTTGAAAGACCACCCGTCTTCTCCGAACCCCGTCAGCAACGGCTCCCGTATCCGGTCCAATAAACTGAACAAATGCAATGAACGTTCTCCGCCGCGCAGGAACCCTCAAACTGCCGAGGAATTCGTACTCTCCGTCGCCTCCAAGTACGCGGCTCAGCCTCTCCAGTACTCCGATCCTGACGTTTGGGGTGTACTCACTGCCATTTCGGACAAGGCTCGCAAGCGTAACCAGGTTGGTGAATTCAATCTGAATTCAATCCGAGTTTCTCTAATCTGATTATGTCATTTTAGAAGTTTTGTTCATCCTGTTTCCTAAATTGGCATAGCTATGGACCTTCATCAAGAAAGTTCTCAAGATTCTTGACTGACGAGTAGTGCTTTGATTTTTATGGACCTTCACATTGATAGTTTATTACTTTCCGTTCAGGGAATAAATATACTTTTGACATCTAGAGAACACTGCATTGGCCGTTTGGTAGGAGATGCTCGTTTCCAGGTTTTATCCCCAGCTGTTAGTGCCACACATTGCAAGATATATAGAAAGACAGTCGCTAATGAAGACTCAGAGCATGGGACTTCTGTTTTTCTGAAAGATACTAGGTTGGATAATCTTTCTGCGTGTTTGAAATCTATCTTGTAAAGTCCAATTTTTAACCTCTGGACTTGTGCAGCACAAATGGGACATACCTCAACTGGTTAAAATTGAATAAAGGTTTCCCTGATGCTATACTTCGGCATGGAGACATCATATCCATTGCATTTGCTCCACATCATGGTAAATGAATGTTAGTCATTGTAGAAGATGTACTTGCTTGTTCTAATCTTAAGAATGAAATACAAGTGATTTGCGTGCTTCTTATTTCCTTGTGGCCAAAATTGGGTCGTTGTTAGCTCAATAGTAGTATTCTTGAGGAAGAGTATCTCTTAGTCATTCAGCTATGGTCCTTTAGAACTTGTGACCTGCTTCCAGATTCTAGATTTCTAGGTCTAGATTTAAGTGAAATATGAAAGGCTGAAATATGAACTCACACTAAGTTGCTAAAAATGTGCATTCGTTGTTGTTGTAGATGTCTTGTTTCATACAGCTATGTATCAACCTCTGCAACTGTCAACTTTAGATAGTCCAAGCTCTTGTTTCTTTTTTCAGTGTGGTGTGCATGGAGATTCTACTTTGTGTTTTTAACTGAATACTTGCATTAGCTATCCTTCTGTTTATATAAATCCTTGGATGTAGTTAAAAAACATTTTCTTATCATCTATGAATTCTTGAGGTGTTTTTATATTTACCAAGTATTAATGTATTACTACGTATATCTTTACTCCATATATCTATATGTAGTATCACTGGAGAAGTTTAATACGGAGTATAAATTTCTCTTTACATGGTGACAGAACTTGCATTTGCCTTTGTATTTCGAGAAGTTTTCAAGTCTAGTTCATCAGCCGACGCAGCAGCTCTTAAGAGAAAAGCAGGTATTTTTTATCTTCATTCTGCTTGATGCTTATGCCATTTTTTGCTGGTAAAGAGTGAAATCTTTGATCATTTATCACGATTAATAGATATATAGCACTTGTATTCTTGCCATGTAGTAGATTTCTGCTATTGACTAATATGTGCTTATGTGCTCCCTGTGAAGATGAATTTGGCTGTGACAGCAAGCGACTTAAGGGAATAGGCATCGGTACTCCTGAAGGTCCTATTTCTCTGGATGATTTCCGTAGCCTTCAACGGTCAAACACGGTACATGATTACAAATATTTGGGTTGCAATCTCCGATGCTTACCAAGTACATTTCTTTTATCTTGTACAACAGTATTATATTAATTTATAAGGAATTTTCTTTTAGGAATTGAGGAAACAACTAGAGGATCAAGTTGCAAAAATTGAGGCTTTGCGTAATGAAAATCGTGCAACTGTTGAGAATCACGAGAGTGTATGCTATACTTGTTAATATAGCATGGATACCACAATTGAAGTTGTCTCTCCTTTGTATGCCTGAGTTTTACCCTTATTCTTCTGCAGGAAATGAAAGATTTGAGAGATTCTGTTTCAAAATCCTACCTTGATCAGATAAAAGATTTGAACCGATTATTGGAGGCTAAGGATAAAGAATTTCTTGAGTCTAGTAGGATATCTGCTGAGCAAAAACATAGCCTGCAAGATCTTAATGAAAGACTTAGTGCATCTGAGCAATCATGCATTGAGGCCAACGAAATAATAAATAGGTACAAACTTATTTTGTTTAGTTTTCTTAAATGAAGTGGAAAAGTCCACATATTTGTAGTGAGAGATACTTGTCTTAATTGTATGCCTGTATTTTCATAACTTCTGTAGCCAAAAAGCATCTGTTTCAGAACTGAAGGCCTTACTAGATGAGGAACGTGATCAGAGAAAAGAAGAAAGAGAAAAGGCTGCATTAGACCTGAAGGCTTCTATACAGAGAGTTCAGGTTGAAGCACAGGAGGAAATCAAAAGATATTCCGATGCTGCCTTGCGACGTGAAAAAGAGCAGCAAGAAATGATTAACAAACTACAGGTCAAATTGAATAAACTTGTCATGGGTTCTTGTTTCTGAAAATTTCTGCATGTTATTTTTTTGGCCACAAAGGTTCACACATTAGTTATGTATAAATCCAGGAATCAGAGAAAGAGAGGTGCTCGCTCGTGGAAGCATTGAGACTAAAATTGGTTAGTAGTCTAGTGTATAAGTGAGCTTACTTTTCAAATGTGCGTTATGAATTAGTGTTATTTTTTGTTGAAATTGTCATGTTATCTTTCTTTCTTTGTTACAGGAAGAAACCAGACAGAAACTGGTAAGTTCAGACAATAAAGCTCGCCAGCTTGAGGCGCAAATTCATGAGGAGCAATTGGCTTCTCTCACCAACAGAAAAGTAGGTTTAGAGCATGACAGAACTTGTAAGAAAATTATGCTTTTATTCTGCTTGATTTCACTAGATGCTGATAAGGATATTGTGTGCTTTTTTCAGAGAATGGATGAACTGGAGCATGAGGCAGAGAATTTGAGGAAAGAGCTTGAGAGAGAAAAGGTAGGTTGAGATGTTCTAATATCATCATTCTGCAGCTTCTGCCTCAAGTATATCCTCATATTTTACATGATCAAATAGCCATCCCCATAAAAAAAGGACATGAACAGTGAACACAAGGAATGTGAAGCAAATCTGAAAACTCCATTTCTGTAAAATACTGAAAAATAATTATGTCTGCCGCTTTGGTTGGTTTTCAAAAGTTGAGACTGTGTTGTTGTTGGTAGCAGGCTGCTCGAGAAGAAGCATGGGCAAAAGTTTCAGTTCTGGAACTGGAGATCAATTCTGCTATTAGAGACCTAGATTTTGAGAGACGCAGATTGAAAGCTGCCCGAGAAAGAATCATGCTTCGGTAGCTGAGAGATTTCTTCTTATCATTAAATATCCACGGCATACATTGACACACATTGTTATCCCAAGCCTCCCTTTTTTTAAATTTTGCATTGACGATGTGTGTGCTATGCTCCTTTACAGAGAGACACAGCTTCGGGCTTTCTATTCAACCACAGAGGAGATATCAGTTCTGTTTGGAAAACAGCAGGAGCAGTTAAGAGCAATGCAGAGGACATTAGAAGACGAGGAAAATTATGAGAATACATCAATGGATTTGAACCTCGAACCAATTGAACGCAATGCTAATGCGTCAGTGATCAGGGAGAGAGGAGTTGGAGAGGATTGCGACAATGGTGGTGCTTCTAAGGTGGGCTCTACCCACCGGAATATTTTTGGAGGAACATCAAGTGATGCAAGCATGACAGAGAAGCATGATTGCACCATCCGAAGCCAACCTGAAGATGATGAGACCCAGGAGGTAGAGTTCACCAGTGGTGAACAGTGCAAGCAGCAGCGTGCCGCCTTTGGTTCTGATATCGACGTGCCTATCATGGAGGGAGATCCAGTTGGAACTGAAAAATTCCACGAATCAGGTGATCATCTCAACCACCACCACCACCTTTTAGGATCCGAAACAGTGGTTGCAACGGGAAGCCAAACAAGTGTCATGAATATAGATTTAAACACCTTTGATCGCGGGGAGGAGAATACATTGAATCTAGAGGCCAATAAGAATAGTGAACCAGAGAAGAATCCCGTAGCACTTCAGAATGGTGGAGATGGAGTGGCAGAAGAGACTATACGAGCAGCTTGTCTTTTGGCCTCAGAAGTTGCTGGGAGCTGGGCATGCAGTACTGCCCCATCTGTTCATGGAGAGAATACTGATTCTCAGAGGAGTAGGGGTAGAGATCATAAGGATAGCATTTCACATGTCGCAGAGAGTCAATCCTCCAAGGCAAATTCTGCTTCTACAAATAGTAGACGGGATCACGAGCGTAAAGCACTTAGTGAGATGATTGGGATTTTTGCTCCGGATCTGAAGGAGCAGTTCGGTCACAGTGAGGATGAAAGTGAGAACGGGATTGCTTCTAATTCTGAAACGCAAAGTTGCACAGGCAATGATGATGATGATGTGGCGGATACTGAAGTTGGATCAGATGCTGCAATGAGTGATAATGATGATGATGATGAAGATACTCAGGAAGGTTCCATAGGATAGCAAGGAAAGTAATGATGCATGTAAATAGGTAGAGGTGGTTTTGAATTCATGTCTTTTATTCTTTCTCCTTATAAATCTCGTATTGCACTGATCATTATAGAACTGGCGGCATTTTATTTTTTAAAAAGGAAATGGTAAGATCAAAGCTTGGGTCAATGCTAATACTCAAATGCTCTCCACCCACCCTCTATGCTTACTCGTGTCTGTGTAGTACGATAATGATACATCCATCAAAACAAATAACCGTTTCTAATTTCTATATAGGAAAATGAACAATTCTAATAAACAAATTAGCATCAAACACTAGTTGTCAAATTGAAAAAGAGTATCCTTTGAAACAAAAATGAGTAATGATAACGGCATTAACGAAATTGTCATAGGATATATGAATCAAACTTGCGGTTGATATGGATCAGTTTGTCCTTTAGCTCACCTTCTTGTTAGTTGGTCTGGTTATTTAGTCAAAAATAACATTTATATTCCTTAAAAGTGTGTGGTGTAAATGCAAATTGACGTGTTTGATACGTAGTAAATGTTGGGTGTGTTTCGGAAAATAAAGAAAGTTAATTAAAATAAATTAATTAAATAAAATGACGAAAGAAAACAAGAAAAGAGATGGAGCAGAATTTGTCAAAGCTCGTGCTACGCACGATGTCCTTAAAACGTATTTGTTGCCTCCCACGGTGCTAAGAGCGTTGCAACAATAGTTTCCCAGGATACGATGACAACGAACTAGTGTTTGAGCACTCAAACAAAAGTTCCAACGAACGAGAACACAGTATGAACACTAAGGAAATTTTCAGAATGCTAGCAGTGTGTTTTAGAGGTGCAAAACGTGAATGGAGTGTATGAATTCGTGTAAAATCGTGTGTTGTTGCAAACCACCTGCCAGCCATTATATAGGAGGATTTGTTGTGTGTAAATGGTGAATTAATGGACCTGAACGTTGGACATCAATGACCAGTCCGTTGGGCATTGAATCCTCCATGAACTGTCCATTTAACGCTGCATTAAAAGATGTAAACGTTGGGCATGTAACGGTTCAGAAGTGCCACCAGAATACCTATGCGAGGTATTCTGATCGAGGCCATCAGAGATCGACGTGTTCCGGTGGAAGCCACCAGAGACCGAGATCTTCTGCTGCTAGGCACTTCTGTCAACTGAGAAAAAATAAACGTTTCGGGAAGAAAACAAAAATTAATCGTATCTCTTGAGAGATGGATTTTGGGACGACATTGGTGTCCGCAGGTCGCCCGCGCACGCAAGTCGCAGTTTTTCTTCTCCGAATTCGGGATTTGATTTGCACCCCCCTGCGCGTGTGGAGAGAGCCTTTACCCTTAAGAATCTTAACTCCATAAGGGGGGAGTCCCTTTATAAAGGGTTGCAAATCCCTTGGGTTTTCCGGTGTGGGAAATTAACACTAGAAACCCATCCTTTTTCCCAGTTTTTCCATTCTAACGGGTAAACTTCGAAAAGCAATTTCTCATTCACCCGTTATCCGTTTTGAGCGTACCATATATCGAATTGTAGCCCTTAACAAGGAAAATCTGAAACCACTTTGACCCGACCCAAATAGGAAGTGGACCCCACTCAAAAAATTGCCCCAAAATAGCCATTTAATGCAATTTTTCACACATTTTTCCATCAGTAAAATCTTTTGAATAAGCTTAAAAGTTGTTAAAGCAGGAGATATAGATGTCATATATGACATTTATTGTTCAATGAATACACATCTAAGATGGAATTCCATACAAGTAAAATGAACTTTTCTTTGTTTCAAATGATTGGTCTTCGCTACTTTTTTAGTTTTTTGTTCTCCATAAAGGATGAAAGTGGAGCACCTACATTTTAATCCTGGAAAAATAGGATTTCTGAAAAATATCCCATAAAGTCTAAAGTTAGTTGACTTTACAATTGTACAAGCACAAAAGGATGACCTACCGAGTTAAGGCCCTCTTCCCCGGATGACTCAAGTTTATGCCGGGTGCGGACGAGCGTAGCTGAGCTGATGGATTATAATTGGCGAATTTTGCATTGACCAAGTTTTATTTATTAATTTATTATAAATTAAATTTTGGAAAAACATTATTAAATTGCTCTCATTTTAAATTTAAAATCCTGATTTTTTTAAATTCTTTATTAATACGGAATGAAATATATTAATAGTCAAACTTATGCGTTAATAAACTTATAAAAGTATAATATTATTCCATATTTCACACACCTTACTTTTCAATTAATTAATTAATTAATTTGACCTGCCAAGTACCTTGTGGTTTGCTGGAATCACTTGACACTCTCGAAGAGGAGGTCACATGTTCGAATCTGATCCCAGTTCAAGGATGTTGGTCTTAACATAGAACATGTATACTATAATAGGTTAGAAGGAATTGTCAAAAAAATTAACTCGACCTTCACTAGCATAGTTCCAATTCAATGTAAATTGAGTGGAATCAGTAATTCTATCTGTTAAAATTATACCAACTAATATTGTGGGTGTAAATATAATTGATTATTAGAATTATTAAATGTGGCATTTACTGATTCTGAAACATAACCTATGTTTGTACCTATCAGTTATTTGTCATGTAGCAATATTACCTGATTACTAGCAAATCATATGGAAACAATACTCTTCTAGTCATAGATCTGCTTTTTTTACTCCAGGGGGTTCTGGGGGAGGGGGGCTGGGGGGGAGCCTGGAGTAATCAGGGCTGAAACTCAATTCATTGAGTTTTTCAAGCCCTTATGTACCTAGCGGGATTCGAACACGAGACCTCCTACTAGACACGGTAACCTCGCAACCAGCTGGGCTGGAATGCTTGGTTAAGAAAAAAAAAATCTGCTTTTTTAAGAGGTCATGTTTCTTCTCAAATAGTCTATGACATTATCGATGGCTCGTCCCACCATTATTGATTGGAAGAATGACTCTATTTCTATCAGATTGATGTGTTTCAAATTGGAATAAAAGTCATTGGTATTCTGTTAGGCGCGACACATCTACAGGTATGGTGGAATCAGGAGAGGGCGCTACAGATACATGATTGGATACTGATTTCTACTTTCAACCGTATTTACAATTCGGCTTAGCTTATTTATGCACTTTTTATTATTTGCTGTTCATTCATTTTGAATTTCCTAGAGATATTGTAGCTTCTCTAAATCAAGTTAGAGGTTTAGAGATAGACGTGATCAAATTAAGCTTTCATTTGTCCTTTATATGGTTAGCGACTTTTACGGCTTATATGTGGGTAGCAAAATCCAAGTCTAATCATTGAGCTTCATACTGGGGCTTGAGTCTTATAATATTTAATTTATTAATTTCCATTCAAAAAAGAGTTAAAAATGATCTCGAATAGAAAGTGGGAAAAGTTAAATACCTATTACACAATAAGAGTGAATTCTCAAATAGAAGTAGAACACAAACTAAATGTAATAATAGGACCTATTGTTTTAAAATTTTCGAAACAAGATTATTATTTGTATTTGGACTAATATAAAATACTCTTGCGGTGCCTCAAGCCCCCAGCCACCTGCCACAGCCCCTTCCGCCTGCTGTCGGCCATAGCCGCTACCGTTCCAGCTATTTGCGCCGCATTCTGTCGGCTATAGTTAGTTATGGACCCGGGCCGGTTCTGGTTCTGGGCCCGGCCGGGCTTTTTTTTAGGGAAGGAAGGTCCGGGACCGGCCCGGGTAGCCACCGAGTCCGGTCCGGGCCTCCGATTTGGTTAATTTTTTTTGCTTTCCTAACCCCCCCCCCCCCAAACCCCTCATAACCATCAAGCCCAACCCGGGTGTATCCCAAAAAAAAATTCAATTAGGCCCGGGCCGGTTCGCCAAATACAAGGCCCGAGCTCGGACCCGCCCCCCCACCGGGCCTAGGCCCGACCCGGACCCGGACCCGGACCCCGGACCCGGACCCGAGAACCAGGCCGGTTCCGGTCCCTCACAGTAGCGGGCCGGTCCGGTCCCGGGCGGCCCGAACTGGGTCCATGACTAGCTATAGTCTTCGCCGTCCCAGCTGTCGCCAAATGCCGGAATCCGTAAAAAATTTATAGAATGAATCCGTCACCATTCTGACTCCGCCACCGGTCACCAGGGTTCTGCCGCCGCCACTGCCACCACAGACTTAATTACCCGCCACCAACGGACGACCTGATTATGCAAGGGAACTAGGGAGCAAGTAATTCCGTCATTATCATCATCATTGTCCCAGTTTCGCAAAGGCTCACATTTACGGTGGGAGTAAGGGGGGTGGTCGGATGTACGCAGCCTTACCCCTTATACTAAAGCATAGAGAGACTGTTTCTGGATGACCCATAGTAAAAATTGCATGGACTAACTACTGCTTCATAACAAAGAAATGCAAACGGTTTAATTAGTGAGTCATTTTTATTATATTATTCCATCATATTCCCAAATTTAGAAATAGTGAGCCTTTGGCATCATTGCAAATGATAAAAATAGGGGGCAAATAATTATATTAATTAATTAGATTAGGGGTATGAAGGGTAAAAAACCAATGTTTAGTCCTATTTAGGAAAGGTTTTGATTAGAGTCCTATTTGTACAATTATGGTTAGATTTAGCACATCCTTTTTCATATACCAATTAATGAATGAACATAACAATAAATTAAGGATGCTTTTACTTTGATTGATTTCATTCCGAGAGCAAAGAAAAGCATGTTAAACTAGACTTAAACAAACCAGACCAAGTCAGGTCTAAACAGACTAGACATCTACTAAATCAGGCCAGTTTAGACCAGATCAGACAAGACTAGACTCAAACAAACCATGTAAGACTTAAACAGATAAGACTAAACCAAACTACACTTAATATAACTCCATCTAACTAGTGTTACAAGTTACAACAACGCCACAGTGATCAATGCCTTAGTAACCAATCCGACAATCTCAGTGACCAATCTGGTAGTGGCTTCCGCAGCTAGTGACATGTCCCTGCCGCTGACAGTGACAGTCCCAGCCAACGCAAGTGACCCATCCTAGCCACCGCCAGTGACCTGTCCCCCTCCGTCGCCAATGACCAATCCCCCGCCGATGCGAGTAACCAATCTTGTGCCGACCAGTCCTTGCCATTACTAGTGACCAATCCCACAACGCCGCTCGCGACTAGTCCCCCGCTGCCAGTGATTAGCCCCTTGTCGCCAGTGATAAGTCCTCCGCTGCTGCCAGTGAGCCGTCCCCACCCAGTTACAAACCACCCAAACACCTTCCTGCATCCCCTTCTCCAACTGCACCCGCTCCCCTAGCCTTGATCTAACTTTGTCCCAATTCCTGACTAGCCGTAGCCCCATCCGCCACACCCACTTCCCGACCAACCCTAGCTCCATCACAACCATGAACAACTATAGCCACCGCCACTTCCCCCTAGCTTCATCGCAGTCCCTGATAACCACATGCCTAGTTTTCGCCACATATCTTAAACCTAGCCGCTTCCAACACTACCGATATGAAGTTGTAGCCATCTTCTACACCCGAGGCTCGCCGCTGTCACCTCTAAACATAAATTAAAGAAGAAGAGAAGAGCGCAAGGTGTCGACCTGGAGGTGGAGGCAGGGAAGACGATCTAGAGGCAGTGGCGGCGACCTCACAATAGAGACGGTGAAAAACGACAGAGGCAACAGAATGACTTGTTGGAGGCAGAAGCTTTGTGTGCTGGGTTGCGGACAAGAAGAAAGGAGATTGGGCGGGTTTGGAAACGAGAATGGTTTTGGAGTAATTTGCCCATTAAGTTTTAATTAATCACTTTTTAATCTATACTCAAATTAAGTCATATTTTTATCCAATGAAAACCGGTGAATGAGTGAATTTTTTCTTGTCATAGGGGGAAAGAAGCACCGAGCATCAGGGGCGTGTAGCTAGGGGGTGGCCATCCTAGGCCCTGACACCCAAATTTAAAAATTTTCTATATTTTTAGTTTAAAAAATTATGTGCAAATTGTTTTTCAAAAATATTATTTGTATCGGCCCAGTGCGGCCGAATGCTCTGACTCCGCCCATGCCAAGCATTCTTTCAAGAAAAAATGAACCTACCCGCACGGGTAGCTCAGTTGGTTGAGTAGTGGGAAATTTGGATCAAGGGACCAAAGTTCAAATCCTGCAGCGGCCGTGTGGAGGTTACTGAACCTCTAAAATGGGCTGGACCTTGACGTGCACGGGTATATGGGCCCAGGGACGGAGGTGGAGGGTGGCCAACCAGGCCACGACTGAGCCCAAATTTTAAAATTGCTTATATTTTTAATGTAAAAATTTATGTGTAACAATTTATCTGTAATTTTTTTTGTGCCGACCCAGCCTAATTCTTACTTCTAGCTATGTGCCTATGTCCATAATGGGCCTACTGGCTATTGCCACTTCGCAGATTGAGTAACCGTGATTTACTCTTTCATCATCCTGTCGGGTCGGGGTGTAAGGACTCGTCTTTTCACCTTTTGGATGAAGAGAAAATGAACCTCCTTTAAGAAATAAAGCACCTGAGTTAGAAAAATGCACCGCAGTTAGAGAGTATGAAATGATCTAGGACGGCATATCTGGGACATTTCTCCGCGTTTTCGTAATTATTTATATTATTTATATTCTCCATATCAACTTTTAACAGATAATAATTGGTCTATATTGGTTTTTGGGTCATACATTTACTTTAAGAATTTGCTCCCTTATTTAATTTCATTGCCGGGTCCCGTTGTTTAGGGATATAAATTTCCCCAAATTAAACCACCTTAATTCATAATTACTTTTATACTCCGTATTATTTTATCCCACTTAAGAAATTAGTTCATAATTAAAATTAAACAGAGCTCCAAATGGGCTATTTTTTGTGCCAAGATGGTAAGTGTCTTTTATTTTTATTCGTCATTATGATAATATCCTTACCGGTAAAATGTAGCCCACCGGAGGATCCCATCAAGTGCACCAATGGGACCAAAAATTGCACCATCACCAACTCCTACGGCGCATTCCCCGACCGCCGCATCTGCCGAGCGGCCGAGGTCGCGTACCCGACGTCGGAGGATGAACTCGTCGCCATTGTCGCCGGAGCGTCGAAAGAGAACCGAAAAATGAAGGTGGCGACTCGCTTCTCCCATAGCATTCCTAAACTCGTCTGCCCCGACGACAATGGCGATGGCGGCGATACCGGTTCTCTACTCATTAGCACAAAGTACCTTAACCGGACGTTAAAGATTGACAACCGGAGCATGACGGTGACGGTAGAGAGCGGAGTGACCCTCCGGCAACTTATCGAGGAGGCGGCGAAGGCGGGTTTGGCGGTGACAAGCGCGCCGTACTGGTGGGGGTTGACGGTGGGAGGCATGATGGGTACAGGAGCGCACGGGAGCTCGTTATGGGGATTGGGAAGCTCCGTTCATGATTACGTTGCCGGAATTCGGATTGTCACTCCGGCATTGCCGGAAAATGGCTATGCTTCTGTGCGGCAACTCGGAGAGGGTGATCCTGACATCAATGCAGCTAGGATCTCCCTAGGGGTACTTGGAGTCATTTCGCAGGTATAATTCTTCTTTAAAAAAACCCAGCTTTATTCTTGTTTTTTTTTTATCCAAAAAAAACTTACAAAGTACTCCGTAAATACTTTGTCGGTTCTTTGTTTTTTTTAATTGCAACGCTTCAATTTTCACGTTTTTACAACTTCAACATTAATATATTTAACTTTGAATTAGTACAAAATTAAAAACTTCACATTTCAAAATATTAAAATGGGAAGAATTTAATACGGAGTGATATTTTTTTAAATTTTAAATTTCTAATGCAGTAGTAGAAAGTAACTCATCAAAGTAGAAGAAATAAACACTGTAAAATTCCACATGTTATAATTATTTAAGAATGAAAGTAGTATTACTTTGCTATAGGAAAGAAATACATTTCCTTAAAAGAAGATATCATATTTTGTTCTACAAATATAATAAGCACAATATGAGCCCGTTCGGCTTATCAGGCTTATCAACCAGTTCTTTTACCAAACACATAACTTTTGGTTTCGCGCACTGAATTTTGTAATAAGTAGAAAAAGTAAGGTTGAAGTTGTTTTTCTGACTGTGTTGACTGAAGTTACTGTAGAGGATCAATTTAGCTATTTTTCATATAATTTTTGTTTAATTTATCATTAACAAATATTTTAAATATAATTTTTTCATGAATCAGCAGAATCAGCTAATATAGCCACTTCAGCCAGAACTTCATAAAATTAAGCAGAAACGGTCAATTCAGCCATTTTACTGTTACCAAACGGGCTCTATATGCATGGTGCTACAATACCATACTTAAATTATATATTCGGCAATGTTATGATGTTATTAATTACGTTATTTACGCAGTAGATGCTAAATTGACATTATTAACAATATCACTGAATTATTATACTAAGTAGCATGATAGTAATTCCAAAAATATGTTGATTTTTAGCCGAGTTGGCTTTTAACATGTTCCATCCGGTTCTCTGGAACAGGGCTCACCATTTTTGGGGTTCCCATTTTTCAATAATAGTATTATTATATAGAAAATTACCTAATACAAATACATTAATATTAATAATAATGATAATAATAAATATAAAAATATAAACAACTAAATGGGTTATATAGAGTATGAGACTAACTAGTAAGTAGTAACTACGATCAACGGGATTACGGGAATACAGAGTTATTCATATGTGGAGTTTCATTTTGATATTTAGAACATCAACTCCAAATTTATTAGGCGACTCTGATTTTTAGAAGTAAGCCTTAGATGTTAAATTAGTGAGCATGCTACATGGAACTATAAGAACATTTACTTCCTTTGTTGACCCTTTCATATATATAAACTACATACTCTCCGGCCAATAGCTCTGAATATTATCATCATAGTCTATATATTTGTATCAAAGTATACTAATGCAGTAATGCAAAAAGTAATGATAAAATTAAGAGAAAATTCTTTAAATAAAACTAAAATATAGATAAAGTGCAAAAATTTGACTATCATTGTTTTCTTTCTAAATTAGGACTCATTTACTCCTAGTTGAGAAAATTTTATGCTTTTAGTAGAAACAAATACAAAATATTTTGAGAATAAAAAACAACTATTCTTATTTGTGCACTTTCTCTATATTTTAATTCTAATTAGAACAATAATTCCTTTAAAATTATTAGAAATTATCCGTCTTTGATTAAAGTAGAGTAGGCGACAATCGAAATAATGCGAATTTTGATGAGCAAACGCGGAAAAGGTATACATAAGCAAATTTAAGCAAAGTATGTTTTTCATTCTTTCTTACGTATTAAGGTATTTGGTTTTACAGTAAAAAAAAGGTATTTGGTTTGATATTATAAAATTTAGCATATCGGTAAAAGACAGATTCATTTTGTGAATGCAACAATCACTTTCGTCTCCCTTCAACAAACATGAAAAAAAACAACAAGACAAAAACATCGGAGCTCAATTTTTTTTTTTGACGAAATCGGAGCTCAAAAACATAAAAAGGAAAAAAAAGGTGATTAACTTTTGGACTACCTGTATGAAAAAGAACATGAAAAAAACTGTTCAACAAAAAATGATACAGAATACATCTGTTTTTTTTATTCCGCGGTGAAGACCAGCAATTTATACCGAATACGTATTCCGTGCCTATACCGAAACTTCTTTGTAGTGTAAAAATAGGTCTAAGGCCAGGTGGAGTTATAAATAACTTACTAAAACAAGAATACATTTCATAAATAGGACTATCATTATATATTTTGTTCTCAAAATAGGATTCTTTCACTCATAATTTGAGAAGTTTTGATCAACTTATTTACCAACATATGTGCAAAATAAGGGGAAATTTACCAACATATGACCAAAACATGGGGAGATTCCAAATATATGACCAATAATGTGAAAATGATAAAAGGTATGAGTTGTTATGGGGGACAAGAAAAGGAAAAAAGGGGAACACACCACCTATTATTATGCATGACATGCCGCATTATTATAAAATAGGAAATATAACTGCCTAGTCATGTAATGGGAAAGATCAATTCATTTTATCATACACAAGGTAAATTTCTCTAAATAAGTCGTATTGTGAACCGGTCCGGTCCTGGCATTTTATGGGCCCGGGACAGTACAGATATAGTAGGCCTTAGAGATAGCGTGCTAATGTTCATATTTTTTGTAAAAAAAACTATAAGTAAAATTATACAATTTTGTTTTCTAAATACAAGAATAACACATCAAATAAATTAATAAATGAGATGATTAGAAATATTATAGGTCGTAAATAAACAAGAAAAAAAATTACAAGAATAATCCCAACTATTGGTGATTTGCTTGAAACAATCCAACATATCAATCATCTCAAAATAATACGAGCTATTGTAAAAGATTCTCAAAATGATCCACTACTCATAAATATATTAAGCCGTTTATGGGTTATTATAAGTTACTAGAGTATTTTGAGTTTTTTTTTCAATAGTTGGGATTATTTTGAGAAAATTGATACTTTGAATTATTTCAAACGAATCACTAATAATTGGGATTATTCTTGTTCATTTTTTCTTTAAATATTAACTTATTCCTGCCGAATGGAAATGTACTATTATTGTTACTTGTTATACAGAATTTTGATTTAGGAAAACACGTGAAAGTTATATCTTATATGAAGTAATATTTTCACATTTCAAATCACATTTTCACTAAACTAAAACAAACCACAAATTTCTAAATTCTTTCACTTACATGTGAGAATCAAAGAAAATTAGCAAAATACAATCAATGATTCATGGGTTTACCTTGAGAGAAGTAGATGAAAAGATTAACATTATGCGCTAACTCTTGATGAACAAAAAATGGTGAAGTTTGTTTCCAAGGAATTATGGTGTTGATGTTTAATTTCAAAATTTTAAACTTGTATCTTGTACATGTTGTTGAATCATGAATTGATCGAGAGTATAAAAAAGTATAAGTTTGATTTTGTTTTTTAATTTTTATAAATATATCATTAACGTATATACATTAAAATAAATATGTATATATGGAGTATATAACTAGTGAGGCTAAAGGCCCTAGGGGAGCAGTGGGCCCTGAGCGCATGCCCCCGAAACCAGCCCTGTTTGGGATATAAAACATACTCGTACTTAATTATTATTTTTTAAACTTTGAATATGTTTTAATCCTATATTGAGGAATTCCTAATTTCTTTAATGTATATATTTCTAATTTTTAATGTATATATTATGCTCAATGTGAATGGATGCGTATGCAAAAGGTGACTCTAAAGCTCGAACCCATGTTTAAGCGGTCCATGAGTTTGGTGGAGAAGGAGGACTCAAACTTGGGGGATGAAGCAGCGACTTTTGGGACCCGACACGAATTCGGAGACATGTCTTGGCTCCCAAGCGAGGGAAGAGTTGTGTATCGTATTGATGGGCGTGTCCCTATACACACGCCCGGTGATGGCCGCAATGACTTCATAGGGTTCCGGTCTCTCCCTTGGTTTTTGGTTCGGGCATCAAGAACTCTAGGTAATTATTTCATGATTAGCTAGTGAGTTCTAATTAAAATGTACTAAGGAGAATTATTAATGAATTCAATTGAATTCACTTGATGTTTCATTGCGCTAATAAAAATATGTTTTTTCTTAGGGAATTTTAAATTTGCATCCCATTATTTGGTTTTTTTTGGGTGATACTTGCACCCCGGCCATTTTCAAAAGACATTGACTTTGCACCTCATCTTACAACATTTTGTGAAGATTTTTTTGTTTTTTAATGGAGTGTAAAGTCAAAAGATTTTCAAGGAAATAGGATGCAAAGTCAAAATATTTTTTTTCTTCCTATCCATTATTAATGGAGACTACATCTTTATTTTTAAAAGTATGAAAACATCTTTTAGATTGTTTGATAATTGCTGGAACATACTTTTGACTTCGGAGATTCTTTATTTTAGTGGAATCTATTCGCCAACATGTATAAAAACATAACATCTCGATTGCAACATGTGAATGCAATTGCACATATATCACACAAATGTTAAAAACTCTAAATAAGAGCTTCTTATTAGATTTAAAACGGGAATAAAATATATATAAACAAACCTCATAATAAATATATGAGCTACTTCTTTGTGCAGAGCAAATTCAGGAATCTGTCAATGATGCGGATGGAAAATGTTTCGTTGGAAAGGCTTCTAGATTCTTTTTAAAAGTAGCTGGATACGGCTTCACCAATAACGGTATTATAACATTATCCTTTTTAAGGTTTGAGAGGTTTTAAAATTGTAAGAACATCTAAATCCTTTATTTTTTAAACTCGCAGAAACCCAAAAATATATTTATATTTTGAGATGAAGGTAGTATAAAGTACACATTATACGATCAGATTAAACAATGAACTCTTCTTGACCAATTTTAAACATACTAGAGTAGATAATAGATACACTTTGTAGCTTTTGTAACATTGGACATTTGGACTTCTATTGAAATGGAGATTTGATTCAATTGGATGTATCAGTAACATTTTTTTACTATTGGTTCTTTGGAAGGATAGGCGATCGCTTTACGGGGTATCCTATAATCGGATATCAAAACCGATTACAATCATCAGGTTCTTGCCTAGACAACTTAGATGATGGATTAAGGACCGCATGTCCATGGGATCAAAGAATCCAAGGGCTGTTTTTCCACCAAACAACATTCAGCATTAGCCTAACAAAGGTGAAACGTTTCATAGCAAATGTGCAAAAGTTGGTGAGTTTGGAGCCCAAGGCGGCGATGTGCGGCCAAGGACTCTACGGCGGTATCCTCATGAGATATGTCAAAGCCTCAACCGCCTACTTAGGGAAACAAGAAGACGCCATTGATTTTGACATTACGTACTATAGAAGCAAGGATCCTATGTCTCCAAGGCTTTACCAAAATGTCATAGAAGAAATTGAGCAACTTGCCATTTTCAAGTATGGGGCCTTACCACACTGGGGGAAGAACAGAAATGTTGCCTTTATTGGGGCGATCCACAAGTACCCAAAGTCAGGGGAGTTCTTGAAGGTCAAGGACAGATATGATCCTGCTGGGCTGTTTTCAAGTGATTGGACTGATCAAGTTTTGGGTCTCAAACAAGGGTTGACCATTTTGAAGGAGGGTTGTGCTTTGGAAGGGTTGTGTATTTGTTCAGAGGACTCTCATTGTGCGCCTAGTAAAGGGTATTTTTGCATGTCAGGAAAAGTATATAAGGGGGCAAGAGTATGTGTCATGATGAGCAGCAATAGGACTAAAGTTGATAACTATCATTTTACCCACTCCTACAACTACTGCAGAAAGTTGTATATCTCCATTACTTTACCTATAATTGTGTGTGTCTTACTGTATATCAAACCCATTAAAACTTTGAAACAACTTGATGTTGCTTTGAGTCGATACTGATTTGAGCTGAAAATCAATAGGTCCTTAGATAGATGGCATTCTTACTCAATATATATTGCATGCTGTAATTAGTATAGTAACTAAAATTTCACCTGTGTGTTGTACATGTTATATTTCTTTATTATTGATTTTTTAAACTGAGATACAAACATGACTTAAATAATAAAGCTTTTACAGTACAGTTGTGATACATATTCATATTGAAAAATATTTGGACAACAAATATAATTGCGTTGCACGAGGTGCATTCATGCAATAAAATTTCCTTAAATTTCTATGTAAATAAATAAATAATAACAAAAAAGAACATAACTATAATTCCCATTGCTAAGATGTTAGCTTTAGCCGATGGTATCACTCTTTCTTTATTTTCCTCAACACGCTAAGAGTGTGTTAGGGAGTTTAATGGGAAAGAGAGTGTAGGACATTGAAGGTATGTTGTTGGAAAGGGAGAGAAAGGTGAGGAAACCTTTCTTCTTATTTGAGAGTAGTAAATGTGGAATAAGAGAATATTAGAAGAAATTATAATAGCCCTAAATAAGACTAAACTAATCCCTAAATGCACAAATAGGACTATATTATTTATTTTTCCAAAATAGGACTAAAGTATACTCTATCTTCCCATTCTACCCTTACCATAACTTAATAGGATAATCATATTTTAATTTGTAATAAAAAATACAAAATATTTTGCCTCATACAAAAATCGTAAAAAAAATCTAAAACAATTTAAAAAAATATTAAAATAATAAAATAATTTTAAAAAAGAATTAAAAATAAATAAAAATAGATAAAACACCTTAAAAATATAAAAATATGGAGGCTTTTACCCCAGCCTCGGACACTGCCCAGCAATGCTACCTACGATCGGATAACAAATGTCATTTTATGTAACAATTGTCATTCTTTCTCTGAAAATGCATGAAGATGGCATTTTTACTCTTTGAAAATGTCAAAATTTTCTCAAAAATGGACACCAATGCAAGATGACAATTCCGACACATGTTGGCATTTGTTTCCGGCGATCGGAGCTAGTGGTGTTGGGAGGTTGCTGAGGCGGCAACATAGACCTGCATATTTGTTTTTAATATATTCTACGTTTTTATGTTTTTAATTTGAATTTTATAAGTTTTTTATTTTCTAATTTTTTATTTTTATTTAATATTTATTTCGTGTTTTTTTTGTACATTTTTATTATAAATAAAGTTATTTTATTGCTTTTATGTTTTAATTATTAATGAAATATGAATTGTATTAAAACAAAGCAAAGGTAGAATTGGATAGCTAGTCCTATTTAAGGAATTTTTAAGTTATGATCCTATTTTGACAATTAAAATTTCATTTAGTCCTATTTGTGAAACTCTCTCTATTGTGAATTCTTTGGTCCATGCCTGTAGATTTGATATGCCATATTCTTGGAGGTATCACTTTTTAGTTATATAATTAAAAAATCCCATTTTAATGCATTCATTGGTCCATGCCAATAAACCCCCACCTCACCATTAGGTAAAGTAGATTTTTTCAAATTTAGAACATTGATAATTTTCTTCATTTCTAAAGATTTTTAAAAGTCAAATACCTTGTGGATCAATGACATCATTATGATACTCCAAAGAAGAGGTCACAAGGTTGAAATTGAATCAAGGATGTTGGTATTTAATGAGAATAGATGTTGTAATAGATTAAAAAACACAAAAACAAAATTAAAAGTTAAAAACAAATATCTTATTAATTCCATGATCTCCGTAAATAAATAAATACCTTATAGAATTTCCTCTGATTTTAGTTGGATTGGCCTATCCACCAAAACAATTGTTGCAACCAATGAGATGTCACACAAGGAGTGTATGAAAATTTGGATAATTGGATGGCATGTGTATCTTACGCTTTTGCTTAGTATCATTACCAGAATGACGGGTTGAGATAGATAGACTTATCTCCTAGAGATGAAATGAGGGAGATGGAAACTATAAGTGGCCATTTAGATATTAATTTCTAGAGTGGGGGATAGGAGACAATGGTGGAAGTAAAATCTTGAATCCAAGAGATAATAATCCGGCGTATTTTAGCACAAAGCTTAGAAATTTTGTTAGTACATTCGAAGAATGGATCGATTTCAGGTGAACAGGATGTCCATTCACATGAGCAGATTTTATATGATAATGCTTTTAATAATGCAGAGTTAACAAATATTCATTCTAAATTTGGAAAAATCTACTTTACCTGGTGATAAGGTGGGAGTTTCCCGCTTAGTGGTTTGCCGCTCCGATATTTCCATCTTGATGTCGATATCTGTTCTGAGCTGGAGTTGGGCAGATTTATTTTATGTCCGGCTCAATATGATTTGGATATTGATTTTGGGCTGTATTAGGCCCAAATTAATAAGAAAGAGTACGAAGGATCAATTTCAGCCTGGAGAAGCTTCCCGTCATTTGTCCAGATTTTTTTGCTAGATTTCTTTGATTGTGCAACTGTCTACTGTACATCTGTATATATATTGTGTTGTGTATAGAGCTCCAAGGAGAATGACAGTGGGAGAAGGCGGTGCTCTTTTTACGATGGTCACCTGGTGTTGGAAGGGTAATCTAGATATTTAACTTATTTAATGGCTGTAAATAACAATTTGGGGGCTGGGAATAGAATTACCCATTAATAAGGCAGCTAGCTTCTTGGCAAAAAAGGGTCAGGCCGGGCCTTTCAAGTGGATTGGTAATGAGTCCATATCATCTGAGTTTTGAGGAATTCTCAAGCTTGATTCTGCAGCTACTCCATACATCTTCATTTAGATTTTTCGTGTTGTTTTAAAGCTTTGCTCTTCCATCTTGCTTGTTCACATTCTGTTTCTGGGAGGTTTTGGTGAAATCCCCCTCTCAGTTGTGTTAATTTCTATTTTAATAAAACTTGGTAAATGTCTCCCGACATTTACCCCACTGGTTTTGGTGGTTTGCCTTCCGAGTTAAATAAAAGGCGGGGGTTTGTTGGCATGGACCAATGAATGCATT